CTTCATTCCCATCTCCTTTGATCCTTGTGATGACATCTTCCTCTCTCAGATGACTCCATCCAATTCCATCCAATTCCAGCCTGCACCACCATCTCTGTTGTAGATGGAATAGTGGGTCCTCTCAGAATTCATGTGTTGAAGCCCTGAGCCCAGTGGAACTACATTTGGTGAAGGGCCCATGTGTGTCATCATGGTGGAGATAATCTACTCCAGGCATCAAGAGCAGCCTCTGGAGGAGGCTTACTGACGTCACCACTCCACCAACTGTTAGTTTAGCAGCTTGAATGATCGACTGAGTGCTTCTGCCTCTGTTCTTTATTTTGACTCATATTTTGAGGGATTCAGTCCATGGTCAGCTGTCTCCTAGGCATAAACAGCATGGCAGAAGAGTTTCTTGATTTTTTTAGAGACAGGTTCTCACTATATAGCTCAGGCTGGCCTTGAACTCACTTTGTAGCCCAGTCTGGCCTCAAACTCATGATCTCCTGCCTCAGCCTCCCGAGTACAACACCAAACCTGGCTGAATGATTTGCACTCTGATCAAAATATTAACATAAGCAAAAGCTGTATCCACAACAGATTTCAGAGTAGTGTGCAGAGTGTCTCTGGAGTCAGTGCAAATTCCTCCTCACAGAGGGCCTGGGAGCCATGCAGGTGCGGCCCCTTGGACCTTCTCCTTGTACATCCCTGGTTCCATGTCAGCTGTGGTCACATATGCCCAAATATTCACAAGCTTGTGCCATCACTTTGATAGATATGGCAGAGAATTTTCTCTCCTTTCATTTGCAATCATAAATTCAGAGTTTTCATTAAATGTAACTCAGGTTACTTCTGACCCTACTTTGCTGCTGAACAAATACATGTTGAAATGAAAGAAGTATCTTGTACAGATACACACACACACACTGGGTATACAGCCATGTTACATTACAAAACCTCCTTTAGGACCACAGGACCTACTAACTTTCTGCTTAAGTGCCTGGAATGTTCTTGTGTAGCTAGGCATGGTGGTGCACTCCTGTGATCCCAGCACTCAGGAGCCTGACCCAGGAGGATCATGGAGAATTCAAGGCCAGCCTGGGGCTACAGAGTGAGTTAAAGGCCAACCCTCTTTCAAAAAACAAAACACAAAAAGTCTTCTTGTGTAAAGACCTGAACAGCTGCTATAGCCATTTACAGGGTGAAACTGTGTTGGTCTCCACTCCTGAGGTTAAGAACAAATGTGTTTTCTTATCTTCCCCAAACCAGCTTCATCAACTTGGCCTGAAGATAGTGAATGTATGAATTTACCAACAGCCAGTGGCCTCCAGAATGAGCTCAAAGCTCTCATACTGAGCACCTCACCCTCTTCCCATTAATTAAGAACTGCATTTCCAAGCCCCAAAGGTAACTCTCTACTAACCTTTACGTGCCCTTCATTGCTGTGTCTTCACTGCTCAGTCTGCTCAGAACACCCTGTCATCTGTCATCACCTCTTAATCCTGATACCTCCCTGGGCGGGACAGGTACTTCAATTAATACAAGAGGAAAATGTGCCAACAAACCCCATAGAGAACAGCACTTTGCTGACAGGGTTGGGGGTTAAGACCCACAAAAAGCAGTCCATCCTAACTTAGAGCTGCCTTGGCATCTTCCTCAATTTGGTCCTGGAGCCCCCTTTGACTTCAGATGCAAGGGGAATCCCAATCTGTATACATAAACACAGACATGAAGCCCAGTGGCTCTAGTGGGATGGAAATATGGGGACAGGCATGAATTTGGGTGTCACATCGTGCAGCCCTCATGTTTCAGGAGAAAGCTGTGCTACATGAGAAATGGACAAGACTTCCACATCAGGTCATCACATATCTACTGCAAATAAGCCTTGTCCTCAACAGGAGGAATAAGCTATAAAGAATGATTAAGCAAATAGACAAGCAGCAATTACGATAGTAGAGTAAAATAAATGCTGTAACACACACACCAACAAAAGAGTATTGGGAGCAAGCTAAAAGGTGTAGAAGAGGTCCCATCTGCGTGGGATAAGCAGGAAATATATAATGGAGCTGGTGACATTTGAGTTATGCTGAATGGACGGAGGGCATCTGCATGGAGGAGAAGGAGAGGAAGCTTTCATAGCAGAGCAAAGGGCTTGCAGAAAGTCACAAAGGCAGCATCAGCTGGGGGCTTGGGGGAACAACAGGTCCATACTTTTAACCAGAGATGAAAGTGAAGACCTGGTGGGAAAAAAGTCCATTCCCATTGCACGTAAGTCAATGAATCTTCTGCACCACCAGGACATCACAAAGTTTTGAGAAAAGGGTTTGGTGAAGAAGGAAAAGAACCTCTCCACCTCCTCTGCTCCTCAGTGATTTTTCTTCCTTCCTCAGTGGGAAGAAGTTGAAACCTTCCATGTTGTTTGTTCTAGGAGCTCTGCCTATGAGTTGAACACCTAGAACTAGGGTATTCAGAGTCCCTGAAAACTGGCTGACTCCAGCTTTCCTGCCCAAACCAAGGAGGCCAACGAGCATGTTAGACCTGTGCCCCTCCCTGGATCAGAATTTAGAGAAACAGCAGAGTCAACACAACCTGTCAGGTCAGGGGTTAGACCTAGGAGTCTAATAAGTCCTCTCTAAATCACTAGGACACCCCAGGTATCTGCCTAACCCTTCCTGGCTGAACTTGAGCACTGGGCTTCTGGGATGCTCTGACCAGGGCCTACATGGGGCGTTTGGGGAGAAGTTCCAGTTGGAGTAGACAGAAAAAGAAAGCTCAGGACTGTTTGCTATTTTTCTTTTCTACCAAGAAGCACGCCTTCATCACCCTATCTTCTAGTTAGGATATGTGGGCAACAGGGACCTGCAAGTTCCCTTCATACCCAAGCAATTCCAAGCAATAGCTTTCTGGCTTTCAGAATTCTTTTCTTTAATGTTTTTGTTTACTGCAAAGCAGAGTGAGCAGAGGATGAGAATGGGTCTCAACTTCTGATCAGTCACCCAGCCTCTCTCTGCCTCAGGTATGCCCTAAAATATAACTACTAAGTAAAGGCACTAACTTAGGACAACTCTTCACAAACTTTATAAACTAACCAATTATACACTCAGTCCCAGACTGTCAGTCCAGTTTCTCCCTCCTCATCTTCCTCAGCCCCTCACACACTTCAACCATCCTCCCCCCGACAACCTCACACACGTGCGTGCACACACACACACACGCACGCATGCACGCACGCACGCAGCACTGACCTCCACTTCTGATTCCTAGAGCTGATTCCTCCTGCAGACACAGTCCTGCCCTGGGCACATGTAAAGACATAGGCTTGGGAAGCAGGGTGATGTAAATTCAAATTCAGATCTATTACTTTCTAGGTATGTACACTTTGGGTAGTTTACTTAACCTCTTTGTGCCTTGATTTCTTCATCTGTAAACTGGATGCAATAATATCTCAGAGACAAAGTTATCTCATAGACAAAGCACCTGGCTTGTTACTTCCCTTCCTCAACTTTCCCTTCACTCCCAAATATTTCTAGAAGTCCGAGTTCCTTCACATAAAGCTGACCACATCACCCAGAGAAGGAAGGTCTAATCTGTTAGAAGCTTCCCTCTCACTTCTTCAAATACTCATAAACACCATGGCAACCTCCTCCACCCTCCCTGCTCCCAAAGGTTGGATCCCCTATTCTGCTCTGTCCTGGCCAACTCCCCAGCCCACCTCCACCCCAGGACTGGAGCCAGTCCCTCTCCATGAGGACACTGAGCACCACAAAGCATGCTGCTTGCCCTACTGAGGTCTGCAGCCCACAGAGGGCTCTGTCTACCTGACTTGCTAGAGCACATGCAACCCCTGTCAGTAGCTGTGACAAAGACCCTTAATGTAGCCTTCCCATTCAAACTGTCACTCCCTTGCCCTTTGCTGCATGCTGATGTGTAAGTGTGGGTGACAAAGATGGAGGTCCCCATCCAGAGTCATGAGAGACTACATATCTTCCTGAAAAACTCCCCTGGGAACGTGCTATCCGAGCTCAGAGTGCTGCACTCTCAGTGACCATGGCTCTTTTTGCATGGAGGAAAATTCTGATATTTGGGAAGTGCCAAAAGTTAGTGAGAGAAGAATAAATAGCAGCACACTGCAGCAGAAAGGACCGGGTCCGGAGTTTGAGGGGCTCTGATCCAACCCCATCACTCCTCCACTGCGGAGCTACTTCCCTCAGTATTTCTGTGTCCTCATTTACCAAATGGACTTATCCATAACACCTGATTGTCATGGGGATTACACAAAAGTGAGATGGTAATGACAATCAAATGTTAATTACTCTATTATTAACCCCTTGGGGACTGGGACTTCCAGGCTGTACACTGTAAGAGGAACCCTAGGACCTTAGCCCTGTCTGAAACGGAGCAACCTTCCCATAAATATTTGCTGATTGGTCAACCAGCTGAAGCCCCTGTCTTTCCAGTGAAGCTGTGGGTGACTGTGTTAAAGCCTCTTCCCTCTCAAGCTGGAAAATACTACCTACTCACAGCGTGTGGTCAGAGAGGTGTTAAATTTATTTTTGTTTTGATAAAAAATGAGACCAAACCATAAAGAAACAAGACTAGCTAGCTTTCTTGTGTCATAAACTGGGCATGAAAGGTAATTCCAAACAAGAATAAAAAAAATGCTCAAAGTAATAACACTGGCAGAAAAACCAGTTGGAAAAGAATAACTCTCTGGACAGATATGTTCTTGAATGTTTGAACAAAAAGTCATGTGACTTTCTAGGTTCCTGGAGACAGAAATGTTCACCAGGAAGCCCTGCCTGTGCCCAGCATGGCAAAGGCCAGCTCATAGCAAAGAGCTTCTTGTAAGGGGATAGAGCCAGGTAGAAACAGGCCTAACTGTAGCAGGAAAGCCCTGCTAATAGACCCGAAGCAGCTACAGGTCCAAAGGCAAAACAGAGAAGAGAGGAGGTGGGGCTGGGTTGGGCTGAGCCTTGAATGAATCAAGCCTTCCTGAAGGGTGGGGACATCCCGTCTAAAACACAAGTTTGGTTAAATCCTCTATAAAAGGTTCTTGTCCTGCTGACCTGGTACTCCACACACTGCTTAACAGCCACTTGTCCCTGCCTGGCACTAGGTAAGTCCCCCTTTGAGGAGTCTTTCTTATTTTCAGTGCCTTGGTGATCTGAGCTCATGAAACCAAAGCTGTGAGAGAGAGCTGTACAACAATAGTGTCAGCTGTGGGCAGAAGGTGTCTTTTTTGATCAGGCCTCAGGGAAACCAGGAGCCAGAGCCCTCTGGGAAATGACAGAGGCCAGCCTAGCCTGGCCTGCAGCAGCTCCTCTCACTAGAAATATCTCTCCCAGCAGCGGAGCTGCCAACGTACCCTCCTGGATCAGCACAGGTCTCTCACTCCCGGGGTTCTGGAAGGTTGTCTGCAGCGCTGAGAGTCCTCGGGGTCAGAATCCATTTACTTCTGCCAACCAGGCAATGAGCTCCAGTCGTCTCAGGGAGGACAGGACATACGTGACTGTCAGGCCCTACCACTGACTAACACTTAGACGAGTTTGTAGATTTATCCTATAAATCTGAAGCATAACTACATGGCCATTTAATTGCTATTATTTATAGGTCCATCTGCCTCCGGGTTTAAAAAAGGTACGTCCTTCATTTATGTTGAGGAGTTCATCTGCATTAGGAAGTTACGTCCCTTGATGTACACAGGAAGAGAGTTGGCTGCCAGGTCACAGAAAGGATGGCCCTGGACAGCCTGCCTGGGGTCTGCACCCTCTCAGTCCTGCAAGCCACACTGTCTTGCTTCTTCTGGCACTCAGCTCTCTTTCCTTCCCTGACCCTCACATTTCTCTAAACAGGCAATGCTCTCTCCACACTCTTCTCCTTGACATCTCCAAAGTCCTGCCCTGGCCCTCCGGCTGTGGAACGCTTCCTTCCGCCTTCCCTGTACTTGAACCTTGTCTTCTTTGATACTCTGTCTTCCCTTTCGGTCCCATCCCAGCTTCACCCCAACCTACCTCCAGGTCTCCTGGTTAATGAAAATGAAAATCTTTCCCTTCAACTGGGAATTGCCCTCATAGGTCACCAGGACTGCAGGGCTATCATGCAAACTGACCTCTCTGACAGGTCACAGAGCTGAGTGCAGAGGTCACATGAGGAGACCTTTGGAATCGAAAGGCCATCACCTGGGGAAGGCACCCCCTTCCTCAGCATTCCCAAGGAGGCAAGAGAAGACAGACCCGGGCCCTGGAGTCCTGACGGGCTCCAGCCAAGGCAGATGTGAACTCCCATGTGTACCCACTGGCTTGTAGTGCTCCCAGGAGGATTCTAACACCCTTGTGATAGGCAAATAAAATGTAGCCTGTCCACGGCATGCATTCTAGAAAACCCATTGCATTTGGGTTAAGAAGAGATGGGTTCGAGGGTTCCTTGGTTTCTTTAAGGCTGCATGGTATTGGGCAAATTGCCTAACTTCTCTGAGCCTGTTTCCTCACTTATAAAAAAGTAGAGATAATGAGGATTACAAGAGATGAGGCACAGGAAACTGCTTTGTGAGTAGTAGAGTGTAGAGATGACACAAATTATGTGCATATATATATAATAACAATAATGATATTTAATAGCTAGCACTTAGTATAAACCAGGTATTTTCCAAGTACTTTTAAAATGAATTATCTCTTTAAATGTTCACGATAACCCTACAAATAAGTACTGATGTTACTTTTAGTCACAGTGGGTAAACTGAGGCCTAGAGAGGCAATGCAATTTGGCCCAGCCCACACAGCCGGCAGGTGAAGGTCGGGCATTTAACTGTTGACTCAGGAGCTGCCACCAGTAACTGCGTGCTTCTCCTCCCTGCAAATAAAGCACACTCTGGAGGAAAGGATGAAGGCAGGCAGCGACCAAGAGCCGAGCTGCGATGTGAGGAAAGGCCAGAGGAGCAGACGTGCTCTGCAGAAGCAGCTAAGGCTGCTTATGCACCCTCTAGGGAGCCTTTCATCTTTTCCAGCTGACTTCAAAGATGCCTCAGTTACTGCGAAACATTCATGGGATCATTGAGGCCTTTGGGCGCTACGCCAGGACGGAGGGCGGCTGCGAAGTGCTCACCCGAGGGGAGCTGAAGAGGCTGCTGGAGCAGGAGTTTGCTGACGTCATAGTGGTATGGTGTGAGCCAGGTGGGGAGGGGCGGAGGAAGTCTGGGGATGGAGGAGACTGCAGCTCACTCCAGCCTGGAAAGAGGAGACAGCAGGAGACAGCCATGGAAACGGACACCGCTTAGTTTTAATTAATTCTAATTTGAAGACTAGCTAAAACGACCCTAAAGGGGTCGTTCAGGATCTGCTCAAGGGAGAGCAGATCCTTGAAATATTCTAGAAAAGAATATAATTGCTGCTTTCAGCTATTTCTTAAATTTGATACAGTAAACACTTCCAGTGCCCAGCTAAAATTCAATCATCCATTAGGCTTTCATCAGAAGCATAATGCAATTGCTCAGAAATGAGGTTTTAGAGCACAGGTTAAAGCAGGGCTTGAGGGAGGGAGTCTAGGAGCAAGCAGCACGATGCTGCCTCTGCGGGCTCAGAGCAACCCCACGGTCCTTCTGGACCCCCACCCACCCCACCTGGGAAGCATTTGCTCAGTAAGGGACCCTCAGGATTCCATGGGGCCAGGTTCCTCTATGCTTCTCTGTGTGTGGGGCTTACTGCAGGCTCTTTCATGCCAGAGGAAAAGTGCTAAGGACAATTGGAAGAATTAACCTTAGAGCCCAGTGAGTTGCTTTATAAGAACATTTATTCATCCTTGAGTACATCTTTATCTAATTGTCCTACAGGCCAGAAACTGGCAGACAATGGATACAAAACAAAAGGTGTTTCCTTTCCTTAAAGGAGAGAGGTAGGCTTTGTGAAGATGCAGGCAATTAGGTGTTAACACCGCTACAGCTGTGTGCCTGCACACTATGCTCCCAGACTGCAGGGCTGGAAGCTGGAAGCTGGGTGGACTGGACCAAGCCACTTCCTTCTCGGGAGACGGATGGTGACTTGGCCTCATCTTCTCCCCAGAAGCCCCATGATCCGGCCACTGTGGATGAAGTTCTGCGCCTGCTGGATGAAGATGAGACAAGGACTATAGAATTCAAGGAATTCCTGGTCTTAGGGTTTGAAGTTGCCCAGGCCTGTTTTAAGGCATTAAGTGAGAGCGTTGGGGGAGCTTGCAGATCTCAAGAGTCTGGGGGCCACCGCACTGGGTTCTCAAAAGAGCTCGGGGAAGGTCAGAAAAGTGGCATGGAATTGGGAAGGGACAGCAAAGGGCAGCGTCATGAAGGAAGCAGCCAACGGCAGCGTGAGCAGGCTTCTCAAGGGCAGGGAAGGCCCGGGACTCAGACCCAGGTTCAGGACGTCAGCTCCCCGCAGGTAAGCAGCCATGACAGGCAGGCTGTGTCCCAGGGACAGGTCCAGGTGAGCCAGCAGACCCAAGTGACGGGGCATGTGGAGCAGACCCAGAGAGCAGGAGGCAATGAGAGTCATCAGGCAAGTGAGAGGTGGAAGAGACAGTCACAGACCAGCGAACAGACAGGGGAGATGGGAACCAGAACCACATCACAGGCCCAGACAGGGGCCACCCAGACTGTGGACCAGGACAGGAGCCACCAGACAGGAAGCACCAGCATCCAGTCACAGGGGGCCTCCTATCACCAGACCAGCCAGGCTGCGAAAGGACACGTCCAGGCACAAGCAGGGTCACACAGCCAGACCACGGAGCAGGACAGGAGTCAGCCTGTCAGCCATGTGGAGGACAGAGGTCAGGGACAGACACAGGTGCAGCCAAGCTGTGGTCAAAGATGGACACAAGCAAGTGGGGCAGGACAGGCCCAGACCGGGACAAGCACTGTGACAGGGCAATGGGATCAGAGCAGCACTCAGCCCAGTGGGACTGGAGGTCAGGGGGAGAGGAAGCCCACAGAGGTGAGAGAGGAGTGGGTCGATGACCACTCGAGGGAAATAGTGATCGGAAGCCAGGACCAGGACCAGGACCAGGACCAGGGCCAGGGCCAGGGCGGCCCGCACACCAGCGCTCCTTCAGTGTAGAGCCAGGACGAAGCCCAGCCCTGGAGAAGGGCAGCCTCACCACCACTGAAGGGCTGTATTCCTACCTGAAAAGCAACAGGCCAAGACCGACTCCAATGCCCGGTACCGAGGGACAGCCAGAGAGGGGCCAGCTTATCCTGCTCTGGGCAGTCCACCGCACTTCCCCGGACTTCAACTCTTAATTATGATGCTTCCCCTTGAGTTCTTTCTCAAAGAGAACTTTGCCACAAGGTGCTCTCTCTCTCTCTCTCCCCTACACTTCTCTCTCGTAAAGGGCTTTGCTGTGCAGACTCTTAGGAACTGGGAGGAAGTTGGCCATTTCTGCTGCGTGCTTCTCAGCTTGTACAGGTCTTTGGAGCTCCTTGTATCTGCCATCTGTCTATGCTCCACCTATCCTCATGCAGCAATAAAACTTTCTTAAGCATTTCACCTCTGTGTCTCATTCAATTACCTTCTATTGATTCGGTGGGCTAAGGGTTGTTGAGTTATGATGAGCTGGATACAGTCCCATCCCACAAAGAACATTTAATTGAGAAAGTATTGTATGAGATAGATAGATGGATAGATAGATAGATGATAGATAGATTTTGATAGCACTAAAAATTGAAACGAGGGCCTTCCTACTGAGGTACATCTCCAGGTCTTTTCTTACTTTTTATTTTTAGAGAGGGTCTCACTAAGTCTCTAAGTTTCCCAGGCTGGGTTTGAACATGTGATCCTGCCAGGTGTGGGGTTACAAACCACGCACCACCACACCCAGCCACTATTGTGTGAGATTCTAAGAGTTAGAGTCAAAGAGAGGAGATGTAATACTGCGTACTTGGTAGACATGTGTCAGGGGAGCCTTCCTCCAGATGCTTCTTTGTGATGATTCTTAGAGAAAAACTAGGATTTAGATAGGTAAAATTATTCTTAGTTCTTCACTTCCTCTAATTCTAGAGTTCAGTCTCTATTCACCTGTAAAGCAAACAGGTCAGCTGGTCTGAGGTTTCTGGTAAATGAGAGAAGGACCTCCAGGAGCTGTGCAGGGGAAAGCAGGGGCCATTGATTAGCAGGGTCTAAGCTGGGAGCCAGAGTCCCTGAGCTTCCCTTCACCCCAGCTCACACACCGTAGTAGCTCTGGGCTCTTAAGCTGACCCCTCACTGGACAGGAACAAGCTGTGGGCTGGTTTATTGTAAGAATCATGAGTAATTTTCAAAATTAGGAGTTTTACAAGGTGTGATCAAAAATACAGTGAACGTTTAGGGTTTTTTGGTTTTTTAAAAAAATTATTAGCGTGAAAGATACATTGTCATTAATCCCCCTCAGAAAATTCCCCCTCACCTCTAGTACCCTTTTCCTGTCATTCTCGCCACTTTCTGATGCTGTTCTGGAAGTCCCCTTTTGTTGTGTGTCTCTGGTCGGGCTGCTGTGAGGGCTTCAATGTCCTGAATTGATCCAAAATATTTCCCTTTCATGGTAAATTGGACTTCGGGGAAGACCCAAAAGTCACACAGTGCCAGATGTGGTGAAAAGGGTAAAGGAGGACACCCTGTCATGTTTTTACGATTCTGCCATTTTGCTGGATGGTGCTTAGCAGCGGCATCTGCTGTATTGTTGATCACACCTCATAAAGACACTCACAAAGAGGACTTTCTGCAGAACAGCTGCAGAAAGTGGAAAGAATGATGGGAGGTGCTGAAAGTGAAGGGGAGCATTTTGAGGGGGATTAACAGCAATGCATGTTTTACCGAAATAAATTTTTTAAAAACTTAAACACTTACCATATATTTTAATCATATTTCATAAACCTAACCTTAGAGATTCTGACTGCCTAGGTTTGGAGTGAAACTTTATGAATATTTTAATACTTCTTAAGAGAATGTTTGCTTCTAGAAGTATAAAAGGCTGGTACAGAGTACTGAAAGGCTTCCCACCACAAAATAATTAGATCTTGCATAAAGCATATTTTTCACTGCATTGTTGGTTCATAGGCAGTAAGGAAATATCAAAAAAAAAAATGTAGCAAGGTCCCAAGTTTGATCCCTGGTACCAAAAAAAATGTAGTAGACTGAATAACTACCTTCAAAAGAGAAGAGGACCATGGATTTAGCTCAGTAGCACTGCACCTGCCTTGCAGGCACAAGGTCCTGAGTTTGATCCCCAGTACCAAAAAAAAAAAAAAGAGGTAGAAGACTAGGGCATGGCAGTGTGGCTGGAAAAATTGGGAAGGACCTGCCAGTTGAAGAGACTTGTTAACCGTTGCCCCAGACCAGAAGCTTCTGAGTCTGACAAGATCAACCCGAGTCCTACACTCGGCACCAATCTTCTGACACAAGAACACTCTAAACCTGATATCAATCTTCTGACAGGAAAACAAGACAAGCCTAGCACCTGATGCCAATCTTCTGGCATGAGGTCAAGTGGAACCACCTGGATAACTATCAAAGAAGATATTTAAAAACATATCAGTAATTGACTCCGTACCACTGCCCTCTTATTCTTGCAGTGGTCCATTCTGCATGCAGGGCATATCTTCTTTTTCTCCTTCTATGCACCCCTTTCTCACTGAGCATTTTTTCTGTGCTTCCTTTTCCTTTTATTCCTATTTTTGCCCCCAAATAAATGTTAATCTCTCACATTCACCAGTTCCATCCAGTTCATGGAATGGAACAATAAGAACCTGGAAAGCACTGCTGCTTCCTACACCACCCAGGAACATTTGGTGAGCCTGCCAGGAGGTAACAGAAAGGACAGGAGGTAAGGCCATTGGGCACAGTTATGTTTCTCTCTCTGAAATCTGTAGACTCAAGCCAAGAAGGACTGGTTTAATGACTGGTTTAGTCTTTTTTCTTTCTTTGTCTCTCTTCACCTTAGGAAGGCCTCAATCATCTTTCAAGTCCCTTCTTATCCCTTTATTCCCAAGACAAGTAGGGAGAAGCAGGGAACTAGAAAGTGGTAAACATCAGTGGAAGCTGGGGACCACCTTGTCCTGCAAGTGGCCCAAGGACAGAGCCAAGTGCCCTGTGGGGGATTGGACCCTTGGGAAAGGGTGGGAGCTGTAATCAGCACTTCCACTTCCAGTTGGGAACAGATGGGGCTGTTGTGCAGAGACTGGATCCCCAGCACACCTGAGCTGCTGTGGCTGGGCCCCAGCAGTACTCAGAGCAAGGGGCCCATCCTAGAGCCAAGGCCACTGCTGGTAGACACTCCCAGAAACATTTAACCCCAGGAACGATTCCTGCCAGTTCAAAAGCTGATCCCACCTAGTATACAAAAGCAGAAAAAAGCAGCTCCTGCCCATTTAAAAGTGGCAAAGCAGCTCTGGTCTGTTTAAAAGAGGCGCTACCCATTTAAATGCACAGGTACAAAAACTACAGAGCAGGACAGTTTTGCTGCTTTCTGGGGCTCTCCCTCCCTTTGGCCACTGGGAACTGTTGCCTTTCAAATAATTCATTAGTTTAAAGCCTAAATTCTTTTAACCCAGATGGTTTCTTTACAGTACTTGATAAAGACTCCACGAGACCTTAATTAGAAACATCTGATCTACCTCAGTTACCTGTTGACTGCTTAGATTGTTTGACCAAGAGTTATACAATGTTGACAAATCTAAACTAAGAAAAGATTTCACTTGAAAGCCTAGAAACAGGGCTGGGATTTAGCTCAGTGGTTCTGCCACCCACATTGCAAGCACAAGGTCCCGAGTTCAATCCCCAGTACCAAAAAGAAAAACAAAATCCCAGAAGAGCAATATATTAACAGCATTAGCAGTACCATAAACAAAACACATTTGATTTTAAAAAAAGACAGTCTAGAAACATTTGAGTGTTTAATTCAGGTATTTTCAAGGTGTAGAATTTAATTTGTTTACCTTCTCTATAATTATTTTACATATAAAAGCTCACTGAAATGCCATTTTATAAATCAGCTGTAGATAATCAGGAGCTTCTGATGAAGTAAAAATGCATATCTGCTCTGTATAGCGTTTTAATCATAAATAAACATGACCTGACTTACTCATGAAAAACGCATTTGAAGCTATTTTAAGTGTCTTTATTTGTATGATTTTATGCTTACTATTCCAATCTGGTGGGAAGTAAAGTCAGCCTTAAGAATTTGAAAGTATTCTCAATTTTCAAAGCTGAATGAGAAAAACTGTATAACCATCCTATTAATAGTCTGAAGAATATCTAGGAAGCTGATTGTTCCTAATACCTAATCATTCAGTTTTAATCCATCTAACTGTATCAACAGCCATTGCTCACTTTCCTTTGGTGTTTGAAAGTACTTTTGATTCTGAGAGACTTAACAAAGTCTACAATCCAGATGGGTTTCCTTGGATTGTTATTAGCAGATGCTGGTTTGCTGTATTTTTTTTTTTTTTTTTGGTACCAGGGATCGAACTCGAGTCCTTGCGCTTACGGGGCAGGCAGCAGAACCACTGAGCTAAATCCCCGGCCCTGCTGTATGTTAATACACATCCTCTTAATGTATTCTTTTGAATTTAATTTGTTCTGTTATGGGTGCTGTTAGCCTGCCTTCTGCTCCTCCTGTACTTTCAGCTGAAGCATAGTTAGCAGCCTATACAGGGGCTAACTGTACAGTGACGCTGTTTAACCACTCTTTCCTTGTTGTAGTTATTTTTGATGGTAAATGCTTCATTTTATCTCTGATGCTGTCTCTCTCAGAAACTCTGTCAACAAAGGAGATGATGGCAAATGAGGAAGTTGCTGTATTGCAGCAAAGGGAGTCGAAATGATCTTTCAGAGACGGGAGAATTGGGTAAAACAAAAAAAAGTTTATTGCCAGGCAATGGCCAACCTCAGGAAACAAGTCCTTATAGGCTGACCACGAGTTAAGACAGTTTCTCCTTTTTATATCTTTTACAGGGCAGCTTAACTTGCGGATACACACCAGAATGTGGCAAGGGCATGATACAGTAGCATTAGGTGGCAAGGGGTAGCATAAGTTTCGATTACAGAATGTACCAAGGGTGTGGTACAGCAGCATTAGGTAGGGGGTACTTAGAAAGACATACTTCAAGGCTAACTTCTAATCTCTCTGGGAGCAGGCTGTCCCCACAAGAGGGAGGAGGCCCACCCAGAGTTTCCCAGCAGGGACAATTTCACACAAGTTTCAAACCACACACAAGTTTCAAAGAGGGTTTTAGCACAGAGTTCATTAACAAATATTTTACAATAATTATACATTCCAAATTATGTTTGGTAGCTCTTCCTGCCTCAGCTACAGATTCCTTTTGCCACTGTATTGGTTGATTTCTTCTAATTTAAAAAGTTGGTATTTTATCTTTGTAAGACTTGTGAATAGACATGGACTGTGATTTATGCAGCCTTATAGATAAGAGCTAAAGCATCTGCTTTCAGAGAACATTTGGGACTGGAGTTGGATCTCCCCCTTGTTCAAGATCAGGTAATTAGAGTTCCACCTTCCCTGCCTTGATGAGTGTAAGACATTGTTTTCCAGGCAGTCAGGGGAGTCCTCGCAGGGATCCACCCTGATCTGCTTCTCAAATGGCTAAGGGAGCCTGTGAGGGCTCCACCGTTCTCCCTAAGGAATTTGTGGGCCACACAGTATGGAGCATTCAAGGCTAAGGACCACTAGAAAACTAAGACATCATTGTCACTACTAGAGCTTCAAGCAGAGATGTCTGAGGCTAAGGACTAGGTAAGTACTTGAGTATCACAAGGGGTACTTTGTGAACTCACAGATCTTCCTCCTTCTGCAGTGGGTGCCCTCTGATGGAAAATCCAGACACAGTTTTTTCTCTCTCTCGAGGCCTCAAGATGTGCTATGGAAAACATCCTGAGCAATACCCCACAGGTCTTGCTTGCCATTAGGATTTACCCTTCAACAGTGGAAACAATTGACCCTGACAATCTGAAAAAGGAACAGCTTATCTACCACTGTGATATGGGTTGGGTCCAGTACAAACTAGGATGTCAGCTTAAATCACGAAATTATTTTGCAGTTATACCGTTTCTGCAAAACTCATGGAAAGTAGAATGAGATCCCCTATGTTTGGAGTTTTGTAATTCTACCAGCAGAAAAGCCCAGACACTCTGGTAATTAGAGTAGCCCCTGAGGAAGAGGAAGTTGTTATCGCTGACGGCCCCATCCTGAGATCCCCACCCATGGTGTCCACAGGCAAGGGCATTGTAAGTTGCCCCTGGCCCCTTCAGTCTTTGTCAGAGCAGGAGAGGAGAGTTTGGGCTGGCATAGCCCCTCTGTCAATCCTCCAGTGTCCTGCTTTAGGCTCATCAGCCACCTGACACATGTAACAGGGGCCAGGCAGTGGCCGGATGCAATTGCGTGTCCAGTTTCCAGTCTTTTCTCACTTTCCTTAATTGTCCATGGGTTTTCCTTTAGACCATTTAGGGGTACTTTAGCATTGCCAATTGTAACAGCCAGAATTTTGGCTTTTTTTCTTATTCACCTGAATCCCAGTTGTTGAACACAGAGAAGGCCTTGTCCAGCAATTGGGCCAGAGGCTTTTGGGGGCCCATCTGAAGCTTTTGTAATTTAGACCAAATATCTGGAGCTGACTGACAAATGAAATGATGTCCCATCAGTGCCTGTCCCTCCCTGGAAGATGGATGTAAATTTGTATATTTATGAAAAAGCTGCCACTAATTAGCTATGGAAGACAGCTGGATTTTCCTCTTTACCCTATATGATCTCTCGAGCCTTATCATAATTAACAGACTTCTTAATGCATCTTTTCATTCCCATGATAAGAGCCTCTATCATGTTAGACATGTTCCTAGTCCACTGCTGGTATTATAGTCCCAGTTTTGTTCTGTTGGAGGGATAACAACTTCTCCAGGGTGATGTTCATCTCCTGCTCCCAGGGAACTGTGACTGTGTTACCTTATATAGGATTAGCGGCTTTGCAAACATAATTGAGTTAAGTACATTAAGATGGGGAGATTATTCTTGATTATCTGGGTGAACTCAACATAATCACAAGGGTCCTCATATACTGGTAAGAGAGAGGCAAAATGGTCAAAGGCTGAGAAAGATGAGATGATGAGACCAACATTTAAAGCCTTGAGTCCAGGCTGACTGCAGGAGCTGGAAAAGACAAGGAATCTCCCCCAGAGCCTCCAGAGGGAACACAGCCCTTCCAGGACCCTGATTTTAGATCACTGACTTCCAGAGCTTTAAGAGAATAAATTTTTTGTAGTTTTAAGCAAGTAAGTTTGTGATAATTTATTACAGCAGCAATAGAAAACTAACACACAAAGCAAAAACCAAAGTTGAAGCCATAGTTGTAAGGGTAGCATGTGTAAAAGGTGAAGTCATACTGTTGAGGACAAATTGATTTTCTATCCACATAAAATACCCTCTGAGTGTCCCAGGCCAAAGGCAGAATCAAACTTGAAAAGACCCAAAAGACCCCTGCCATAGGCTCTCCCTGGGGAACTGATTAAAATGAGCATGC